GGACGCCCGGGATTCATGAATGCGGCAGACCTGTTTGGGCAACGCCTGCGGTGCAGCTCTGAGAGCCGCAGGCACTGCAAACCCCAGCGTGGTCGGCAGGATGCTCTTGCTTGGGCTGCCAGCTCCGAGCCTGGACAAGCTGTGACTCAGTTAGACATGGAGTTCAGCTTTCAGACTTGGCGTTCGTGGCAGCGAGCCAGCATTGGCATGGCCAGCTGGCCCAAGTCTGCACAGGCTGGGACTATGCAGGTCCGGGACGAATAACTGGCCCTGCAGGATACAGGACTGGCAGCACCGGATAGTCCAGTTGTTCACCATAAATTTAGGTGAACAGCGATTCAGTGATTAGGTGAGCAGTTATTCTGCTTTTGATTCATTGTGTTCAGCGTAAGTTGTTTCAAGGCAAATAATTTAGTTTCAAGTAATGGGCTTTTTCCTCTGAAACTGTTTTGCCAGAAAGTTTCTATGAGGCTTTCTTCTTAAATCATCTGAGAATAGGGCATCAAGGAATTGTTTAAAAATGTGTCCTGGTACTCCTCCAGGTGGCTTGTGGGGTTAAATCATCTGAACCCTAATGTCACCTCAGAGTGGGTGAATGCTGCAATGTCTTGTCCAGTTAGCAGCTCACAATGAGTTATTTTCTATAAAACAGGATTGTCAATTTACAGGGATTTTATTCTTGGCAGTACATGGAAAAAGCATCGCTCTAAGATACAAACATTTTCTTAGGTGGGAGCACTGTTTTGCTTCCAGCTGAATAATTTGGTAATGGTTGAGTTGATTACTCATAGTTATTGACTCTGTATTTGCTGCCTGGGTGATTAAGACACTCAGACATGCTGGAGGGGATTCAGTGGTTTCAAGGCTGGTGGAGGCTGGTACAGGGGCATTCCCCCCCAGGCAGAGTTAGAAAACCCTGGGAGGGGAGGAGAGCACAGAGGCTCAGCTGGGGCTTGAAATCACAGTTCAGTACTGAAGAGACACATCTGATATAAAAGAAAAAAAGATTGCAGGAGCAGTAACCTAGGGCCTCTTTGGAGGTGGAGTAGCTAGGAGGCGGTCATTATCAGAACTTCACACAGAAAGGAAGAAAAGTAGTATACTTTATCCTGTGTCTTTTTTATTGAAAATGACAACAAACCTCTTATGCAGAATTTTTATACTGGGTTGTCTACTTTGAA